CCCATATTCAAATCAATTTACCATTTAATATTACAAAATTTTTTTCCTAATGGATTAATATAAACTCACATAACATCTCCACATAATATACCCTCTTATATACAATATATCCAGAGGTATAAATCAAAATTCGATCATGCAATATGTAAAATATCCAGGTATTTTCTATTGCATTTAACATGCCCAGAACATTTCTGTTTCTTATATTTATTGTTTGCTAATTTATCATCTAAATTAGCTAATAAATATCTATATTGTTGTAAGCTATTAGTCTGGTTTTAGTCAATTTCTTGACCTAAAATATGCTTTATAAAAAAATTGATTCTAACACTTTATTAATTGACCAACCTAGCCCATATCACTAGTATATGTTTATTATTTTTTAAACTACAGTATTTTAATAGAACTTACTTGCGGTAAATGATCAATACTATAAAACTATTCTATATATGCTATTGGCCTTGTCAATTCGTGATCTTTGTGAAACTATAGTAGAAAGGTTAGAGGCTATTTATGGTAATCCATTACCTTCTAATATTAATATCCTATTAGATAGATAGATTCATCTTCAATTTTGCCCTACAAATACTACTACAACATGGGTAATATATTATACTGGCTGATTTAAAGTAAATTTTAAAGTACAAGAGAGAATGCTTCAAAAAAGTAGTGAAGACGCATATTATTGTACAATACTTTTCTGATATCTTAGAGAATTTTGTATCCAGTACCATCAATAGGCTTGCTTAATTTTTGCGGATGATAAACATAAAATTTTATTGAAGAAGATGTAATTTCTACAGATATGCAAAATCAATGCTCAATAGTTGCACAAGAAAGCACTTTGGCTGCTGCTGATCATGATTTCTCAAAACTATCTCTAACACCATCAGTAGTTTTTTTAATTTCTATTCCAAATGATATTTCTGGATCATTTTATAATGGTCAGATGTATGTATCATACAAAGATATGATTTTTGAACCGAGTACTGCTATTAAACATTTGACTGAATTTTTAAATATGCTAAAACTTCAATATGCATATCAAGAAATGCCACCAATTTTATGTCTTTATACTGATGGAGTCTAGATTATCATTGTAATTATAGTTCAGTACAAATTGCATTGATAAGTCTTTTTCTTTGTGAAGATTTTGATCTGCTTGTTGCAGTTCGTACAGCTTCTAATCATAGTTGGACAAATCCCGCAGAGTGAATCATGAGTACTTTAAATTTGGGTCTTCAAGGTGTAGCACTCAAGCGTGACTCAATGAGTCCAGAATCCAAAAATTTATTTGGAATAGTAAATACCTAGGTGACATTCATAAAAAAGCTGAAGGATCTAATAAATTAGAATCAGAATTAAAAGAATGCATCACAGGTATTCAAGAAATATTAAAAAATCAAACTGTACAACTTAGATTAAAAAACAATAAATTTAAATACTATTCTCCAGTAAGTCAAGAAGAGATTACTGAAGTATTTGAGGTAAATATTTAACTTTTTTCATATTTATTATTTCATATTATGAGATGTGCTAAAAATCAAAATCAATAAATTAAAAGTTATCAATTATTTAAAACTATAACTTAACTAATTTTAATTTGCACTATTCAAATAATTAATTTTTTGAACAGTTAATGTCTCGTATAGACCCAACTTTAAAAATTGAAGAAACCACACAGGTACAAATACGCAATCATCCAATATTAGTAGAATTCATAAAAACTCATTGTCAAACATGTGCTTATAGTTTTCAGGCATATAAATTTTCAATATTATATGGTTTAAGCTTATTTTAATTTTAATGATACTAATTAAAATAAAAATATTATTTTTTCTAAAGGTAAAAAAATGCTATAATACTTTGTGCTTATATTGTAAGCCAATTCGTCTTCCACAACTTGAATTTGATAATTTAAGTTTTTTTTCAGATCCAATCCCTTCAAAAGGTAGATTATCTAATTTTTTTGATGTATATACTGTAATTAATGATGGGTAAAATGCATTATACATGATGTACATAATATACAGCCAAGTTTTATATTTATCAATTCACTATTAGTGATTATCATGATGCTATTTTATGTAGTATGAGCACTTAAGTACATGTATATAGTTGCTGTTGAAACTATTTTGAACAATAAATAGCATTACATATGATTAAAACTAAATAAGACCAGGTTAAAACCATATCGATATGTGATGCTAATTATCACCTTGTTTGGGCTGTCCCAAATAGTTTGAACAGCATGCATGATTGCATGCATGCATAGCATAATGTCGCAGTTGCCTATCTTTAACTTAATTATTTAGTATATAATAATAATAATTTAAAACTAGAAAATACAGACCATTATGCAAGCTTTCAACATGTTTATAGAACTAAGACTACTAAAGAGCATAGGCCAACATATATACAGTTGCAGGCAAAATCTGAGTCTATTCCAAAATATATTCTTGTTGTAAAAAAATTTTGTGATTATATTAGTTGTAAAAATTGTAGAAAACGTCGCTATGTATATAGTAACAAATTTTTGACTGATGATGAACAAAATGATTATCAGCAGTCACTGGAATTATATTCATACTTGTGTGGTGTACCAATTTTCTCTGACAATTATTATTTGAAAGAAGTGATATTTGTACATTTGCAAATTAATTGTGATTCACCAATCAAAATACTCTATTATTCAAGCCACAAAGTAGAAAATTATCCAATTTTTACTATTGTGGAAATAGCAATAATTTAATCATTTCACCTTAATCTTTGAAGAAACGTTTCAAACAAATTTATCTATTGTGCGAAATTTGTCAGGAAAGTGGGAGTAATTTTATACAAAAGGGGTGGTTAAGACTAATAATAAATCCTCAAAGTATTCTAAAAAATAAAATAAGTTATTTTAGGTTAAGATATAACGTTATAGAGCATTAGGATTAGTATTAGACTGATTTAAAGTCACAGTCAGACTAGAATATATTATTCAGTATAAATATTTGAGAGTAAAGAAGGGTTGGTATTGTATATAGTGCTTATTCTAAAGTTATCAATCTAGCAGAAGAGTAGAATAATTAGATATATTGATGTAATTAAAATCAACTATTTTTTTTGTTTTTTTTTTTAATCATATTTATTTAAGGCAGATACAAAGGCTCTTTATTGTTATTTTAGTAATAATAAAATATATATATATAAACTAGGTTCTGCAAATGCCAAACCCTAATAAAAACTCACTGTATTTACCTGAAATAAAGATAATGCACATTTGAGTTCTAAACTATGAAGAGATTATAGTAGTAGTTCCTTTATTATAAATTTGCTAGTTGTACTCTGTTCATTGTATTTTTCTTGTCCCTGTGATTTTGTATTATTCATATTTTCATATAAGCAAAAATCAAAAGAAAGAGTTAAAAATTAGTGATTAGTGCACTTATATAGTGAAAACGAAATTGATTAACTTCTGATTAAGCTTACTGTTAAAATGTTTACGTAATTTATAAGAAATAATATTCATGAGATATGATATCATGAACCAAATTCACGATCAGAAAGCTGATTTAACAGTGTTCAATGTGATCTAACCACAAAAAAATGTGACCCAAGCCAAAAGTGAAAAATGCTAATTCGGGTTTGGCTTGATGTGAAGCTCTATTGAAGAATAATAGTAAAACGCCTCTGATGTTCGAGTTGTAGAAACTAAAGCTATAGCCATATATATGAGTATGAATTACTCATCATTAGTTATAGAATTCCCCTCCCGATATTTTTATTAGCATATCGCTTGTTAGATCTTAATCATAATAGCAAAGCCCAGAATGTATATAAAGGCCTCACTTTCATATAACTTTGAGATAGGTAGATAGATATAAATAAGAATCATATTAATAAAGACTATCAAATGATAGTCCCAAGGATTCTAGTGGTAGTAGAATGCTTAGTTCTCATATCAAATTTACCACAAATCTGTTTTTTACACTGAGCTGCATCTTTTAATAGAGAAAATAAGCAATATCTTGTATTAGCATCCAAAAGCAATATGATAAATCTTAGTAGGAGGCACTTATAACCAAGAATACTTAGCTTTAGTACTTACAACTGCTGAAGGAAATATTGAGCTCCTATTCTTAGACTAAATTATTCACTTAAAAGCTAAATTTTATAAGCTTCATTAACTAAAATTACTATAATAAATATTTTATATAATTAAAAATTTACAAAGTACAGTACAGTTAATAAAACCAAACTTTGATTTATGTAAATTACTGTGACTTCTAATTTATATATTAGATTAATAGCCAATAAGATCGCAAAATCTATATCATATAATATATATCTATATGTTTTTTTTAGCCCTCCTACCCACCATCCTAGTAGCTACTAATTTTATGTTAAACAGAAAATTAAATTGGCGTGGTCTAATTAATCTATCCAAGATGGTTTAGACTGCTGTTTTTTGTATTTTTCAGATTTTTGGCATTTTGCTTCGCTAGCGATCATCCTTAATTTACCTAAAGCCATTATTTAGTTAAATTAGAGTAATATTTAGTTAGAGATTGGGGTTAGAACTAGTGATGTGCAATGCATATTATATGCACATAATAATGCGCATAATTTTCTATAATGCCGGCAAAGCAGTATAATGCTGGTAGATTACCTAATTACTATTATAACCGTTGGGAGAGCTTAAGAAAATATTATAAGATAAAGGCCAATTTAACTTCAACAGTGTATAGAAAATAAGTATAAACTTGGAGAAGCGAAGTGGGTCTTTTATAATTGTTAAGGAACTAGTAGGGCAATAGGGTACTATCGTATAATACTTTGATATCAATAAGTGATGATAATAGGTAATGCAATGACAGGTGATGCTGTTAAGGGTGATAATAAAGTGTTGATCTTAAAAACTGTAATGGATTACCAGATTCGAATAATAGTTGTAAGTGTTATTCTCTGCCACAATTCCTACAAGCAGGGTTGGCAATAGAGCCAATGGAGCTCAATGGTTATGCGAATAGAGCTTAAAAAACTAGTATCTATTGACTTCATTTATAGCTCTATTGGTTCCATTTATAGCTCTATTGGGCTCCATTGAACTCCATTGCCAACTCTGCCCACAAGTCACTAATGTGAATAGTAATATTTGATTTCAAATAGAATCTGAGTCTTAATAAGTCTAATTGAAGATATAAGTCAATTCAGTTCGTCGAATTGAGTCTCAAAAGAGTTTATTAAAGTTACAAGTTGAATTCAAAAGACAAGACACAAGGAACAATTCAGATATGTATTGTTTATTAGAAATTGAAAGTAGGCATGAACTGTTACTCTTTATTAAATTTCAGACACTTATATACATTTTGTTTTATTAGAGTACTTATGCACAATTTTGAGCATATATACTCTTTTTTGAATGTTTACATTTTTTTTTTTTTTTTTTTTTTTTTTTTTTAAGAATGAGGCCTGGTCTCAGTTTTTATTAAATAATTTATGTGTTATATTAATATAATAAATTATATGAATTACTACAGGGACCTATAGCCAGAACTACTTTATTTACAGTCTAAAACTCTACTAGAGTAGGCTAACTAGATTTATGGTAGTAATATAAGATGTAGATATATTAGTAGTAGAGAAAATAGTTGCTTACTTGTTGAACCTTGCTATACTATATTGTGATGTGAAGGGTGTTCTGGAGAGGATATGGTGAGTAGGTTAATTGTTATATCTTGCTGGTGTATTACAATACATCATACTTGTATATTGTTTTGTAAAAGTTCTTAGAAATTTTATACAGTAGTTGGGTGTAATAAGTCTTAGATAAGGTAGTAAGCTCCTGAATATTAGGCAGAGTAAAACCTTGTATTACTACTATAAAAAACCTCTATAGAATTGCAAAGGCTGCTTATTAGTATATTTTTGTTTATTTAGAAATTTTGATAATGGTGTTATGAATTAATTAGTATATTATAATCTGGTTTTTATTGCAGATAAGCTAATGAGTATTGTTTTCAATTTCTGTATCGTATCTTTTACATATCAGATTGATATTATATATTCTTTTTGAAGTACTGTATATACTCTTTTTTGAGTATATATACTTTCTACAAACCTACTATAAATTATATTAATTTAGTTACTTATACTCACACAACCTTATTTCTTATCTAAAAACACAGCACTTTATCCTTGAGATAAACCTATTAAAGCTTTCTGTGCCTACAATCCAGCTAATCTAGACTTCAGTAACTTATACAGAGTCTGAGAACAAGTACTTGCAAGCTGAAGCCACTACCATTAGGGCAGTGTCATTTATCACCTGATTTTTTTTTATTAGAGGCTTACCCCTCCCTCTCTTACTATATATTTTAATCAGGTCTTTATATATAATTTTAAATTTTTTACCCCCTCCTGCCTAAAAAATCACCTAATTTTTGTCATGTCCCTTACTTATTTTTTGTCCTTGTAGAGTTTACTCAAACCCCAGTACCTACTTTACAGACTATTAGAAGTAGGGTACAGGACAGACCAGGTTTAATCTGAATTTTTGCAGGTCAAGTCAGGTTAGGCCCAGTTTGGGCCCAAATTTTAGGCCTGCTATAAATTGGGTTAGGCTCAGGCCAGGCCTAATAAAGTATCAAGTTAGGTTCAGGTTCTGTTCATTGATATGTTAAAGCCTGATCAACTTATAGTATCATACAATAATGTGTTGTTAGAGCCAAATTAAGGGTAGAGAGAGTCATAAACTGAACTTATTATCAAAATTTATAAACATTTTAATGCTTTGTGTTTTGTTTCACAGAGTTATTAAACATTCAGTTGTCCAACTTTGAATTAGAGAAAGAATATTTGTATATAATTAAGAATTGTTTTGGAACCGAGTTTAGACCAAAGTTGGAGTTAAAATATTAATGAACTAGTCTTATTAGAAACCAGAGCAGATTGAACTGTGAGGATCCTAATAGTCCTGACAGTTTTAGTTCTAGTTTACTTTTAATAGTTCATAATCTTAAAGAATTAACTGGTTCAGGCTAGTTCTAGCCAGTTTGGTCTTAAACTAAAAGAAGTTTTTTCAAGTTCAGCCCAGTTTTAAAGCTAATTGTAGTTTATTAGTTTAGAACAGACTATAGTATAACATCTCCATTGAGCTATCCCTAAATCGATTTACAGAACTAAGTTTGGATGCATGCTAAAAAATAATACTCAAATCGATTGTCAATAGTAGTAAAATATAATATGTATATTTTAAATTTTAGGTGTAATCAGGATGTACAGCACAAGCTTGATCTAAATTAATTACTGAAAAAAGTTAGCATTAGCATTAGCATAAATATTAATATAAAACTCAATAGCAATAGAATCCTGTACATACGTACATACGTATGTAATATAAATATAATTTTTTCAATTGTATTTAAAATATTCTGATTTCTAGATCAACAACCTTTAAGCTTATTTAGAGTAATATATATGTATCAAATTAATACAAGTTTAAAACTTGTAGATCTTTACAAAATAATTTGGCTGTAAACTATACACTTCATTTCATTACTTTCCTAATATATACTGTTGTATCTAATTATTAGTTGGTGGTGAAGCTGTCACATGATCATGTACTAGTTATACATATGTAAAATGATTAGACTGGTTGGGTCGGTTTGAGTTTTGGATTAACCAAACCTGACCTAGATCTAATCTGTTGTAAAATTTTTTATCAGGCTCAGGTTCGGGTCGGGTTTAAAAGGCCCAGGTCAGGTT